AAATTTAACATTATAAAAAAAAAAAAAAAAAAAAGTAGAATTTTCACTCTGAAATAGCTAGTAATTTTTCCAAATAATTACAAAGAAATGGCAACTTGAACATGAAATTTTGAAATAGAATTTCATGAATAGTATATTTTTGCGAAACATCCTCCAATAATATTTGTTTTATTTATTTATTTTTAACTTCGAAAAAATATTTGTTTTACAGTGCATCTGAAATAAAAGTTAAAGTGCTAAAATAACTATTTTAATTATTATTATTAACATTTTTTAAAATAATTTTAATTTTATCATAATTATTATTATTCATTATATAAATTATTATAATCATTATTTATTATATTATTTATTATTTTATAATATTATAATATTTTTACATTATTTTAATGTTTTGTTAATCAAATTAACTATTCACAAAGATGTTTCACAAATAATTACAAAGAAATGGCAAATTAAATGTACAATTTTGAAGTAGAAAGCCTGAAATAGTGTATTTTCGTAAAACATGCTCCAATAATCTTTGTTTTATTCACAACTTAAAAAAAAAAAAAAATTTAATAAAAGTTAAAGTGCTAAAATTACTACAACTATTAAAAATAATTTTTGATAACTGAAATGAACTAAAATGAAAAAATTGATGGAAAACATACAAAACAAAGGTTAGAAATGTCACCTTTGAAGCAAGAAATTTCAGAAATTTTAAATAAATTTCACAAATAATTACAATGTGAAATTTTGAAGTACAAAAACTGAAAAAGCATATTTTTGTAAATAATAATAATATAAATAATATTTGCTTTATTAACAACTTTGAAAAATATTTTTTAGAGAGTATCTGAAATAAAAGTTAAAGTACTGAAAAGGCTAAAATGAAAACTATTCAAATATGTTTTGTTAATTGGAATAAACCATCTCTAATCTCTCTTAAATGATGAATATCAGATGTATCTGAGACTGTTTTCAGCGACACACACACGTTTGGGTTGTTGAGCATCTCGTCTGGTCTTGAGCCGGATTTTAGCTGTTTCTCACACATGAGAGTAGGGCAAATTATTTTAAAATATAGATATTTCCAGGATAAACGCCTGATTCCTTCCGCAGGGTTTATAGAGTTCCACCTGGAATTACCAATTCGATTCTTCCACTCAAATTCAAGAGGCGATCTTTGTGAAAGTGTGATTTCTGATGTCTGATATATTTCATTCATGTTTTGTTGGTTTATTCTTTAAAGCTTGGTTTGATGCATCATTAGAAACAGGTTCACTTTTTGTTGTTGAACCTAAAATGAAGAAAATTGACTAGGGATTCAGTGCTAGAGGATTTCTGAATAACAATAGCTGATTCATATTTTGTCATGGCTGATGTTATAAATCTGTATCTTCTAGCATTTCATCTACAATTGTATGTACTTTCTGTTTTATATAGTTTATATGTCTACAATTTGATGTACTTTTTTTGCATACTTTATATATTTTATATACTTTATATATTTAGAATTTTGGATACTTTTTATGTTTTATATACTTTATATATCTAGAATTTTACATACTTTTATTTACTTTATATGTTTAGAAAATTATATATATTTATATACTTTATATGTCTAGAATTTTATGTACTTTTTTGTATACTTTATATATTTTTATATACTTTATATATCTAGAATTTTAGATACTTTTATACACTATATATCTAGAACTGTATGTACTTTTCTGTGTACTTTATATATTTTTATATACTTTATATATCTAGAATTTTAGATACTTTTATACACTATATATCTAGAACTGTATGTACTTTTCTGTGTACTTTATATATTTTTATATACTTTATATATCTAGAATTTTAGATACTTTTATACACTATATATCTAGAACTGTATGTACTTTTCTGTGTACTTTATATATTTTTATATACTTTATATATCTAGAATTTTAGATACTTTTATACACTATATATCTAGAACTGTATGTACTTTTCTGTGTACTTTATATATTTTTATATACTTTATATATCTAGAATTTTAGATACTTTTATACACTATATATCTAGAACTGTATGTACTTTTCTGTGTACTTTATATATTTTTATATACTTTATATATCTAGAATTTTAGATACTTTTATACACTATATATCTAGAACTGTATGTACTTTTCTGTGTACTTTATATATTTTTATATACTTTATATATTTAGAATTTTGGATACTTTTTATATTTTATATACTTTATATATCTAGAGTTTTAGATACTTTTTGTATCTCATATATTTTTAAGGACTTTTTATATCTAAAATTGTATATTCTTTTTATTTACTTTATATATCTAGAATTGTATGTACTTTTTGTATCTATTATATCTTTTTATATATTTTAATATATCTAACATTTCTGTACTTTTTGCTTTATATACTTTATATTTTTTATATACTTTATACTTCTAGAATTTTATGCACTTTTAATATTATAATTTTTATATGCTTTATATTTAGAATATTTTGTATTTCACAAACATAATGTGTTCAGCACTAAATCTGGCAGAGAAAAATATTTTACCGATTGAATTAGAGAAACAAAAGCCCCTGATTCAGTCCTGATAAATAACTGTGTGATGTGTTAACGAGCTCTGAACTCGCGCTCCGGCCCACAGCAACAACGACGACGAGGATCTGACTCCGGAGCAGAAGCTGGAGCGGGAGAAGGAGCGGCGCATGGCTAATAACGTGCGGGAGCGTCTGCGCGTGCGCGACATTAACGAGGCCTTCAAAGAGCTGGGCCGCATGGTGCAGCTGCACCTGAAGAGCGACAAACCCCAGACCAAGCTGCTGATCCTGCATCAGGCCGTCGCCGTCATCCTCAGCCTGGAGCAGCAGGTCCGAGGTCAGACACACGCTATAACGCTCTTCAGACTCGCAGTGTACAATACTCCATCCCATAATGCAATGCTCTCTCCACTTGACCTTCCGTTTACAGCAGTTTCTTTTTTTTTTCCAAAATTGGATACTTGCAAATAATTACCATAGTGATTATATACAAAAATAATTTGATAATAATAATTATTTATAAATAAATATGTATGTATATTTAACTGGATATTAGATGCACTGTAAAAAATAAAAAGTTGAGAAAACGTAATAGATTAAAGCATCCAGCTTCAGCAGATTTTTGGGTTTCCTCAACTTGTTGTTTTCAGTTTATTCAACAAAAAGTTGAGAAAACGCAGAAATCTGCTGAAGCTGGTTGCCTTAAACTTTTACGTTTTCTCAACTTTTTATTTTTTACAGTGTGGTTATTAATTGGAAAAAATGTAGTGGTTAAAAATATTATTTATTAATAAATATTAATATTGTAAATATTTTATTATTATTGTTAGATTATTATAAATATTCATAACTGTTGTATATAGCAAAGATTTTCTGTGTTTATTAATTATTTATTAAAATGTTAATTATTTTTTATTTAATTTTTTTAATAATGTATTATTAATTATTTTTATGTTCATTCATTATTTTTTATTATTATTATTATATAGCTAGTGATAATATTAATAACTTGTATATAGCAAAGATTTTGTGTTTATTAATTATTTATTAAAATGTACAATTTTTTTATTTTATTTAATTTTATTAATGTATTC